CAAATTTTACATCATTGAGTATCTTTGTTGCTAGATTTTCTTCCGACATAGTACTCAACTCAGAAGCACAGAAGACCAAAGGAGATGAAAAATGATTTGTCTAAACAAGATTAGTTAAGGGTGTTGCTGCCATTTCTTGGAATAATTATAAAGAAAAATGGTTTCTATGGCTTTGTCCTTATGACTTATGAAGTGAGACAGTGATGTTGCTACAAAGCTGATAGTGGATGGGAGGGATTCACAAGGTACCACTCAAGGTTGCACTGAAGATCTAAGGCAACACTGAGTCAGCAGCAAGTTGGAAATGCCAGGACTTGAAAAGATGAGGATGAAGAGAATGAGTGGTGAATCAGAGACCGATTGTGTCCAAGTGTTTGAAGGCTCCTGGATCTCCCATAGTTTTCAAAGCATTTGATCCACAAGTACCAGTTACATAGCCTTTTTTCTTCCCTTATTCCTCTTTACCTTCCTTTCTTACCTATTGTCATGCATTCTGCTGCTGCGAGACAAGGAAGACAAATAATCCATGGACACAGTCCTAGAAATTTCTCATTCTAACCAGATGTAGGTTTTGCAGACAATACTTATAGGCATCCTTTGGATATTTTATTAAAATGCAGACACAATAGGCCTTGACTGAAGTCTGAGGATCCACATTTCTGAGAAGCCCCCTGTGTGCAGGTCCACAGATTGCATTCAGAACTGTAGTGGAGTTCTTTGAACCTGCAGTTGATGGTGTCTGAAAATTCCAATATTTGTATTATAAGGCCAACCCCAGTTTTGCACTGGATCCCTCTGTATCCCAAACAAGAAAGCTAACAGATAATTTTCATCACCAAAAAAATATCATCAGCCTTAGAAGCAGTAATCATTAATGAAAGTATCAAAAGAACCACGAAACCATGCCAACAGTTATGGGTTTTTAAATAAACAGAAACATCCTGGACTAGATTTAGGTCCTAGTAGAGTTTCAATAATAGGCAACATTTCCCCGGATGTCCTGACCATTTTTTAATGCAAAGCATTAAAAATGTGCAGAGGATCATAGGACAATAATATATGATGATAAACTTGTTTGATTACACTTCCCAGATGCTGCTGGGTCCAATTATCTTGGTGCTAAAATACCCTCTAATTGGGTGTGAAACACGTATCAGAGTTAATTATACTGTACAGCACTATATGGGCAAGAAATAATTAAGAATGTTTTCCTTTCTCAACTGGCCTAGAAAAAAAAAAGTACATGCATTTCAAGTTTTAATCCTTAGAGATTTCTTTGAAACTCATGAGATCAGCTAGATATGAATTTATGTAAATTTCTAGCCTTAGAATCATACTGAGACTATAAAACTCTTATCATAACCTAGATATTTTGATCTATAAAAGTCTAGCGATCAGTGTTTTATGAGGAGCATGTGCCCTTTGAAACTTGAGACACTATATTAGAATGGGGAATACCTTCTTAAATTATACTAGTCACTTATAAGTACAAGTCATTTAAAGGTATTTTAGGGGGAGCTCACTTTAATAACAAATGTATCACGCAACATTGTCTCTATAGCGAATGAACAATGGGGAGAGAGTTGGATGATAAAAACTTAAAATGGTACCTCATTCTAAAAAGAAGCAGTGAAAGCAGATCAGAATTGGACATACTTATCATAAGGAGGTCTAGATAACCCCTCTGTAGTGCAAAATCAAAAGACATGCTCTTTGATCTCTCTTGTATTTTTAATAGAAAAAAATGTAAACTCATAGAAGTGGAAAACAGAATCATGATTATCAGAAGATTAGGAGTCAGTGGAAATGGTCAGTTGCTGTTCAAAGAGTATTAAGTTTCTGTTAGAGCAAATTTGGAAATCCACATACCATAGGATTATATTCAATAAAAAATATTTATATTCAAAATCAATAGAAAATTAAATATCAAATGTCTAATCGCAAAAATGATAAATGAGATGCCAGATGTTAATTAGCTTGATTTAACACTTCATTTTGTATACATATATCAAAACATCACATTGTACCCCATAAATATACATGAGTATAGTTTGTCAATCAGACAATATGAATTTTTAAATATGAATACATAAGTAACCAGGAGGATACACTGTTCAACAAATTCATGTGAATTAACCCCAAATATAAATAGACATTTGTATATTAATGTACAATTATAGCAATTAACAAACTTGTACTTAACATGAATCAAAACTCTTGAGAAAGATCATACTTACTTCCCAAGGGCTCTTGATCCATTGTCCTGAAGTTTTTGGCTGTGTTGACCTTTGCCATGTTGGACTGGACCAGAATATGCTAGATTTTTCCCAATGTAGCTATCCTGTCAGTATCTGACTCTTCCATGGTATTAATAGTTTCTCCCATTAACTTTACTTCCCTACACTTTGGCCATGATTCACTGCTTTCCTATTGTACTAGATCTATGGATAATGATGTAAAGCTTCCTGAGATCCTTAGTTCATGTTGCTTGGAGCCCAGCTCTTTCTAAGTGCTAAGCATGGAAGCACTTAGCAACACTTAACTCATCTCCAATTGCACACTCCACAGCTGCTATGAAATAAAGACCCCAATGAATCTTCAGTGTTTCTTCCTGTTAAATAATTTCAGAAGTTGGAATTTCTTGATGGGGATTTTGGTACTTTATGAAGTCTCCCCAGAATGACTTGATTAATCCAAAATCTTTATACTAATTTTTATCCACTAGTATTGGAATCTGACTTTCAGAACTTTTTTCTATATATTCTCAGTGAAGCAATTCACTAACCTGAAACAAAATAAATCTGAAAGTAACCAGTGGCCATGTTTTTTAAAAATTCATTCTCTGTTGCATCACTGTGAGGTAAAGAACAAAGTATTTTCTAGAAGGGCATACCTCTTGCTTCAAAATCTATAGCACATGCACCATTACTAAAAATTAATTTAACTGTCATTTGCCCATTTTGTTGGTAAAGTTCAAAGTGTTTAGAATTTTTGTTAACTTTTTTCCTTATTCTTCTTGTAAATCCAATCAATTTTCACTGCCTATCTGTACTTTTGTCTGCTTTTTTGAGAGGATAAGTGGAAGGGAAGGGGGGAAGCTGTTTTGGTGCTCTATTAATCTTAAAAGCCAATTAACTAAACTCTTACACTGAAAAGAAAAAGTATAACTGTTGAAAATGATTATACAATTATTAATCTATCAGAAGAGGAAAACATTCGGTAATCACAATTAAAGTCACATTTCCATAGTAAAATCCAATTCATTTTCATTTCATTTCATAATGTATCAAAATTCTTGATATTTCCAAGAGCTAGCTAAATCACATAAAATTTTATGTACCTAAGGAGTCAATATAAGTATTTGATGATTATATTTTTTTGTTTTGAATGCTACTAGAACACATATTCTTTCATTGATTAAACAGATGTTTACTGAGCGTCTTGTATATGCCACATATTAGTGATGTAACTCTAAAGAGATTCAAGACCTCTTCCATGACAGTTTATACTTTGTGAGATTCTTTCACTCATTCAACAAGCATTTATTGAGCATCTTGTGTATGATTCAAGACTTCTGCTGTGGGCATTTATACTCTGTGGCATGAAACTCATTTAACAGTCACATTAATACTTTGTGACACACTATGGAGATATAGAATACTGTATTTAACCTGGAGATCAGATTCCTTAATGAAGCGTTGAGTGAGAATTGGAAAGAATCATTTAAGCAAGTTAAGGAGAAGTCTTGCTTTGCAGACAGAAAAGACCATGCACAAGGCTCTGCAGCTGGAGGGAACTTGTCACTTTGAGGAACACTGCAGATGCAGGGGGCCGAGGCAAAGGAAATGAGGGCAGCTGTGGGCTGAAGGTATCCAGCCTGTGTTGCCAGCCTTCTGTATCCTGTATCCTACTCCTACCACAACCCCAAACCCCAAGCCAGCTTATTCTAAAACAGACTGGTCTCAGAGGTCCTGCACATTTAGGGCTACCGGCTAAGTAGTAGTTTGGCCTGTCCAGCCTGGATCCAGACACAAAGACTAGTGTCTTCCCCTGTATCTGCTCTGTCCTAACCGTGATTCATTTCCTGCATGTCTACAGGATTCTCAGCACAAAACAGGGTTTCCTAAAGGGGTTGTTCTGGGAAGATAACTCTGAAAATCTGAAGTCCAAAACAGATCTGCAGTTTTCCTAATTCTGTGCTAAAGCAGATTGCATTGTGGCTGGCCTTTGAAGTATTCTCAGTATCTAAGAATAACTTAAGAATGAAGACAAGCATCTGTCCAGAAAAACTTTTATGGGGCCTTCTTTAAAATGCTTTGCAATAGCAAATTCCTAGAGTTGCGATTTAAATTGTCTTCTTCCATTTTTACCATAGAGAGGAGTATGAATACTAAAGTTCAGAAAACACAGTCCTTTATATTTTGGCAGAAACCTAAGTAGTTTAATCTTGGGAAATATGCAATTATAGGACATAGGCCTGGTAGAAATATGCTCTTCATTGGTAGAAGAATAATATTCCTTCTTCAAAAATAATGTAAACATTATAACTTTTAGATAAATCATGAAAAACTAGATTATAATTCCATTACAGACTTACACTGCATGTTATGAGCAAATTTTACAGTTCAGAGAAAGGTAAATATGCTAAATAGAAGCAAGATTTAATAATTGGCTGAGTGACTAGATACACTTAAAGTACATTCAGCACACTAAAAATATGGAGTGAATCCTAATGTCAGCCGTGGATTTGGAGCTATGATGTGTCAGCGAAGGTCCATTGCATGTGACAAATGTTCTGCTCCAGCAGGGAGCATGGCAAGTGAGCGAAGATTACGTCTGCATAGAGGTAGCAGTAAAGGGACTGAGGGGAATCTGAACTTTCTGCTTTGCTTTAAATCTAAAATTGCCAAATAAAGAAATAAATAAGTAACAGAAAGTTAACTTTTTAAAAAGATGAAAAAAAAAATTCCAGGAAAATTACCGTAATTGTTCGGGTCGTCACGATACTTTCATCTCGGTAAAAGTTTGGGGTTAGAAAGCCAGTCGCTCTCATCCACCTCCAGGCCAGTGGGATTGCTGAGCAGTTTCTGAGGGATCGATGCTCTTTTTTTTATTTTAAAATTTAAAAAACTGACAAAACAACAATGGAGACAAAATCGAAACAACTTAAAAACAACAAAAATGATACATGACCTCAAAGCAAAATGATAGAAATTTACAGTGGTTACTACATTGCATACTGTTCTCTTCAACAAAGTTACTCAGTCCACTAGACATAAGAATGTTGGTTTGATCAAACAATCAAAGACAGTAACAAATAAAAAAATAATAATAATAAATAATAAAAAATAAAACACTGGAAATGATGCAGAGCTTCACCATCCAAGATGGCAGGAGTTCAACAGTGGTTCTTATACTGCATATTGTTGTTTTCAGATCAGTCCTTCTGATTACCAAATTCAAGTGTGCAAATCTAGGAATAGATGTTCTTACGGGGCAATTTCTGCAGAGCCTCCTGTATTCTAAACACTTCACAAGGCACCTCGCTGAGACTGTGAAACAGGTTTCACTTTTCTTCCCAATTTGTAAATGGAAAGAAATGTCTGGTCTAGGGAAAAATAAATATCTTACTATGACACAGAGAATTGATGTGACAGCCGTAAAAAGTAGGTTGAGAACACACACGAAAACCTACTGTGTGAGTTTGGCTTGAGGAAGGACACCTGAGAAGGTTAGAAGAAAGAATACCTTCAGGTCTAAGTATGCTTTGCTGTCCTGGAAAATACCGAATGCAATTGCGGTTGATGAAGTTATGTTTAAAGATAAACTTTTAACCTCTGACTGAATAATTAGATAGTAAGATAAACTCAAAGTACAAGAATGAACCCATAAGTATTTCTGCTGCAGTTGAATACTCCAGTACACCCCTCTTCTGAGTAGATGTTAAGGTTTATCCAGTTCCAAGCCAAGGTAGGAAGAAGCAAAAGAATCTTCCAGGTACATGTGAACAAATTTAGAGAGATATACCCTGATACTCTGGGCATTGCAGACAGTTGCTTAAGACTGATTGCCTACAATCTGCTCAAAAGCTTCTGATTCTGAGTTTTTAACTGGACTAATATTAATCACAGATATTTCTTATGAAAGTTCCTTTCATGTGTCTCTTATGTGACTTGGTCCAATCATGTGGGGACAGACAGAAAAGCGTATTTTGTTGTTGCTGTTATCCTCCACTTGCAATCAGAAAAGAAGAAAGAAGGTCTGGGGATATAGCTCAGTGGCACAAGAGCCTGCCTGGCAAGTGTGAGGTCATGAGTTTGATTCCTGGTACCAAAAAAAAAAAAAAAAACAATGAAGAAGGAAATATTAAGTCAGGTCAACTTGAACCAAGAAAGACAAAATGTTTTGAATGTCTGGGTGGCACTTACAGGAAAATCTCAGGAGAAAAAAAAACGCAACAATGTAAATTATCTTCTCTACTTCCTAAGGCCGCTGGACCCAGTTCCGTATTTGATCAAAAGAAATCCAATTCTGCAGTTTCTGCTTTTGGAAAAACAGACTGACATGTAGGATTTAAAAAAAGAAATTCTTGTTTTTCTTCCTCCTATCCCTACTGCTTCACCTTCATTTTTCTGTTCTTTTTTTTTTTTTTAACAGCCAAAAATAAATATTATTTAATCACATCTGGGAGCGGTAGTCATTTTTCAAAATCAATTTTTATAGACACTGTTGTCTTATGTTTACCATGCAGGTGTCTACTTTCTCAAGGTAAGGTTCACAAGGATCCTTATCTAAAACTGATAAATGCGCGCAAACAGAGCCAGGCCTATCGGGGCTACCACAGGACTGTTTGACTAATTGCCCTGATAGATCATTCTCTCCGATGCCCTAATGTTGTTATTGCACCCAGCATAGCTGAGATAGCACATGTTTAACCCCTGACCTTCCAGCTGCCCGGACCGCGCTGTTGGGGAACTCACTGTTCTCTATCATCACTTCCTCCCCATGGCAGCTAGAGAGAGATCTGTTTCTAAGCAAATAGCAAAGGCTCTGACCCCGTCATGCGTCACCAGCCTGTCTACCCACTTCCAAGATGCCCCCTCCATGTATTTATTCAGCTTGTCAGAGTTCCTGACAAAGAAGATAGTGATTTTTATGTTAAGTCAATTTCATGCTCTCAAAATAGTAGTTTCATACATCTGAAATATCTGAAATAGCTGCTATCAGCTTCATGTGAACCAATCCATCCTATTCTACCCCCACTTAAGGTAACTTTTTCTCAAGAAAAAATGTAAAAGTAGCAAAGAGCAGAAGAAAACTATGCCAGGGCCATTTATTATAGTGGAGGGAAATACCTGATTATTCCTTGCCTTAGGGGTACTGGTTTATAACTACTATAAGACAAGCTAGATACTATTACTAATAGCAGAAGTGAGAAGAAAATGTAATTTATATGAGATAAGTCTTCCTTCTCCTACTGAGTGCATCCCGTGTCTTTTTCACAGGACTTATCCTGATCTAACTTTAACAGATACTGCCAACACATGGTAATTCAACTGCTCATGATCCTGGCTGAGCATTTCTGTGCAAAAATTTTGCATTTTACAACTTCACAGAACCATTCAACAGGAATAACACAACAGCCAGTGATGGTACTTACAGCCATTTGTGCGAATAAATGAAATTACATTGTCTTTAGGGAGAGGCGGGATATAAATAGAGAAGGAGAAAAGCATAATCATTTGGAGTCCATTTGAATTTCTTTTCATTTTGTTTCAATATCTCAAAATTAAGTAGACATGAAATACTGCAGGCTACTGCACTGGGAGAAGAGATTCATTTGGGTACATATTGTGCACCAGCTTTCACTAAGCCATTTCACATACAATCGAAGCACAATACCTTAATGATAAAATGCTTCTATATTTCCAACACTATGTTTAACCTGGTCTTTAGACCATTAATAATTTTTCATCCAAAAAATAATAAAGTACATTTGAGTTCTGAAATAAGTTCCGGAGTGCTCATATTGTTTCTCATCATTATTATCCACCCCACATAATCAGTTCTTCCCCTTTGAGGAAGCAGAAGTGCAGTGCTTGAAATATTGCATAGAGCAGCAAGAGACAATAGGAAATAAAAAATAAAACAAGACAAAAAGATAAATGATCAAAGTTATTTGTGTCTTCGCCTCCATACATAAGAGCTTCAGCATCAGCGCATGGTGTAGGTTTAGTCTCATCAAAGCAGCTTCAAGCCTAATTTTCTAAATCTGTTTTCTCCTAAATGAGGCTAATGAAGTCTTTCTAACCAGCTTCTGAAATTTAACTGATGAAAAGTGCCAGTGAGGTGACTAGAATGAACAAATCCTCAATCTATTCAAAATCCTTTCCTGCTGCTTCTTATAAAACTAGTCGAAGACTTGTAGTCCAGTTTATCTTCAGGCTACCTTGGGAACCATCTAACTGAATTCATATACACTTTGGAAAGCTTAATTCATGGGGAGATAATTCATCGTCTGAAAAGTAACAGAGCTGAGGTTAAGCATTAATGAATTTTGTTTCACTAAAAGATAAATACTTAGGTGGAATCTAGAAATAATAACAAATTTATTTACTAGAGAGTTTTGGGGAAATGCCAAACAGCAAGATAAAAATTTAGGACATTTCTTTCATATGTAAAATGGGATAATAATACTTGCAGAATTATTTACTAGAATTAAATTATGCAGTGTAAGAATAATACATAGCCTAGTAGAAAAGATAAGCTCAATAAATGTTATTTTAATGTAAATATTATTAATGATAATTAACAGTGAATGTGAGATGATTCTGAAGTAATTGAGAATACCTTAGTTCTTTTTAGTTTGTTAAGGTTCTCAAATTCCTGCTGCTTAAAATCCTTTAGTAATCATCTCTTAAATATTGATTCATGATGATGAAAATATCTTTGCCAAATTCCCCTTTCTCTATTTCTTATCTAACTCTCTGGCCAATGGCATCCATCCAAGTTAACATCAATATTAACTTCTCACAATGGGACAAGCTCCAGAATGTTAGGTTAACAAGAACACTCTTTTTTCATTTCTATGATTTATATACTCAAAGTCTAAAATTAATCACACCCTCAATCATTTGGATCTGATAATGTACAGCATGGGGCAAATAATTTACCAGATTTTCAGTAAATTCAAATAAAGTTTGACAGATAAGAGGAAAATGAAAAATTTCAAATTTTTCTACATTATCATGTGTCTATCATCTATTTGGTGTAGTAGTTTGAAGCGATAGGTTCATGATGAAAATTTTGTTGTAAGTAGAATGAATTTTTCCTTGCAACAAAAGGAAGTTAACTTTTTAGCTATGTGATGTATATAACAAAATAACACTCCTTACTCTGCCAATTTAGATACAAATGCACTATGGGAAAGCTAGCTTTTAATGACCTTTACTAAAACTAATAGTCACATTTTGCTCAAGAATAACTGTAACACTGGGCTCAAGATGGTTACATCACAGTAATGCTGTTTTTAAACCATGGCTTTCACTTAAATAAATGTAATTAATTGGATTTTCTTCTGCAGGAAAAAAAAAATGTGTCAGATAAACGTTGTAAATTTGAAAGCAGAAAAGCAGGGAAGAAACAGTAACTTCTATGCCACAACAGAGTGTTTCACAATTTCTGTTTAACAAAACATACTTTAGCCAACTTATACCTTGATCTATAGGACCCCACTGACTACAAAGCTGTAAATTGTGTGAAGAGATCTGCAAAAAAAAAAAAAAGCATAAAAGGCAGCAAGGAGATCTTATATCATGGAGTCACTTGGTCCCTAAGACTCAACTATGACTTTGGTATTTTTTAAACAAAAACTCTATATTCTTATTAAGAATGAATAGAGCTACTTGTTTTAATTTCATAAGCCTAGTGCACCTAAGCTGCTGAAATTTCTATTACCCATGGCTGGGTTTTAATCCTTTGATTTAAACTTTTTTTAAAAAGTCTCCATTTTCCAAATGTTGACTTAATGCTGGAACAATGAGAAACAACTTTCCCAGCAATTTTGGCAAGTTGAACAGGGGAATGAGGGTGACTATTCTTTGTTCATTTGAAGATCTATTAAAAATGCTTTCGGTACAGGAAATACTTTTTTCTCCCACAGAATTAGGGGATATCTTCAGGAAATGCAGTAGATTAATTACATGAGCCCTGGCTCAACTTTATTTAAAAGTAAAACATAAGCTTTAACATTCATCCAAAAATGTAAAATTGCTCCTTCAGCATTTCATGATGCTGAGGTTTTTGTGTTTGAATGTTTTTCTGTTGGCTCTGAAACTGATAACTAGAAATTTTCCTTTTCATGTTTTGTTATTGCTTTTAGTAGTAGGATTGGGGAGAGTAAGAGTTTGAGGATGCTGGGAAATTTGCCTATGTATCTACTATGAAAAAGCAACATTTTAAGATGTCACATATTTTTAAAATTGACAAAGGAATGTTTTGGCCTAAGCACAGAAAGTTTTAAAATCTTAAATCTGAATTGACTTGAGGAATTAACTTTTACATGTTGTATTCCAATAAGTTGCTGAATCAGAAAATCCAATTCAAAGAAACTCAACTCAAACTGGGTTTTTTTTGTTTGTTTCTTTGTTTTTTTGCAATGGGAGTGCATTGCCTTTGGTAGGATTTTCACAAAAGCTCAGAGTTTTGTCTGTCTTTTCCAAAATTCTTCTAAGACATGTATTTCCTTACATTTACAATGGAGCAGTTATATGATGAATTTTACCAAAACTTGCCGTCATTCCCTTGGCTGAGATTCAGAAAAACCATGCAGAGAAACATATATATATATATATCTATATATATATATATATAGATATAGATATATATACATATATCTATATATATACAGCATAATTACTGCTCTTTGTGCAACGCTATGCACAGTGGGGACAGTAGTCGGGGTTGAGGGGAAGGCCATGGCAGTGAATCACAACTCTGCTTTTCAAGAGCATATTTAAGGAAACTAGAAGGGGCCTAAACTAAGCAAGAAATGATTTTTAAAGCCTTATGTCAAGATCGCAGCTCTGATGCAACGTGGAGGGTACAGGCTAGAGAGAGAGATGAACTTAAGACACAGGGCAGTATCTGGGAAGATGGCAGACTGAGATGGGTCTAAAAGAAGGGGTGAATACTGAGCTGCATACTTGGGGAGGTCCCAGACAGAAGACTCAGCCCCTGGAAGTGGGTGTGGATGCTGAGCACAGTGAAGCCAGGACTCTCCCTGACTATCCTAGCTCAAAATCCTTCCAACCGCTGCCCATATGCTCAGTAGCATTTGGGGAAACACATGAAAAAGGTGCTCTACATGTACATTTGTGTTCGTCCACACAAGTTCTTCAGGTCCTCTGATTGAGTACAATCATTAAGAACATATACTTAATTTTTATTAATTTTTATTTTTATTAGTACACATTTGCTGTTCATAATAATTACCTTCCTGGTGGAGAGCTGGTACATGTACATAACACATCTCAGTTCTTTTTTATCCCCTTCTCTTTCCTCCCCACCCCTCCATCTCTTGATCCCTTCTCTCTTATAAAGGATCTATCTCCCTCTATGGTTAGAAAACCGTTGTTGTCCCATAACTTTGATTCTGGCCCACTTTGTAAATGGCCAATAACTCCATGATTCTAATCTCTCTCTGAACCATGGTTTTCTTGTCTGTGGAAAGGAGATATTGATAATGGGTTTATTCAATGCATTCAAGCTATCTAGTCAAATGTGAGGCAATATGTGCCTGAGTCAAAAAAAGCACTATGTGCCTATAGTAAGTATTTTGATTGAAGAATTTGTCCATAAGAATAGACATGCCTTGGGCATCCTATATCATCATTTGCAGTATTTTGCCTTCAGCTTTCTGCATAATGAACAGGGTGAATGCAGAGCAAGAATGAAGCACTTACTAACCAAAAAAAAAAAAAAAAGATGTATTAGCTTATGTATCCTTGTATACCATTGGATTTGATGTCAGGGATTGAAATTCCCCATTTTACTCCCCACCCACCTTCTTCCCAGGCTACAATTTCAATGGTAGGATACAGTAGGAACACAGGCCATATTTAGGCCCTTGGAGAATGATTCTATTCCTGAGCATTTAAGAACTAACAAAGCTGAACCTGACACATGCTGCAATCCCAGCAGTCTGAGAGGCTGAAGTAGGAGAATAATATGTTTAAACCCAGCCTGGACGACTTAGTAATTTAGTAAAGCCCTGTCTCAATATTAAAATAAAATATGAAATGAAACACAGTAAAATAAAATTTAGAAAAGGATCTGGGAGAGGGCTCAGTGCTAAGGCCCTGGGTTCAACCCTCAGCAACTCCTCCAAAAAGAGCCCCACAAGAAAGTCTGAGTCTGATCCCTCAAGATCAGCCCTCAAGATCATCATGGCTCAAAATATCCCTGAAAAAAACAGACTGAGCCAAAGATAATTGTGGAATATTTTATCTCCCAAGGCAATTAAAAAAGAGCAAATGTGATAGTTGTAATCTTGGTGACGAAAAGGATACCCCACCTTCTTTTGTTCTGTTATGGATAATAAGCTTGGCATTTAACATTGTCTAATGCAATTTTAAGAGAACTCACCTCAGACGCTGAGATCCCAGTGATAGTGTTCTAAATGCTCTGGATGTGGGAATAATTAAAACACTTTTCAAAAAATGTTTCAACCTCTTAAGGTCTTGCCTTGCAATATTCATTTGCACAACCCTTCCCCAGCACCAAGTCTCTTACAGGGCCCAGCCCAAGTTGAAAAATTTGAAAGGTAGTATGTCAAATAAAATACAATATATTTATCTCTAGAGTTAATTTGTAATAAACTTGGAATAGATATTTTCTGCCAAATGAAACACTGCAAAAAGTTGATTTTTAAAAAGCCAAGAGACTATAAACGTGGTTCTACTCGACAAAAGAAATTAGCTTGGAGACTTATAAGTCCAAAAATGTCATGCACTCTGTCCCTAAGAATGCCAGCTGGTACAAGAGACAGAAGCCCACTGGGAGACTTGGAAGGGGAAAAATTTCAAAGCTCTCAACTAAATTCTGTTACAAGGTTTCCCATTAACAAAGGCAGGTAGTTCCGGTACTAAATGTAGTTTCCTCTGTTAAAAAAAAAAAAGAAAAAGAAAAACAAGTTTGGAATTGAGGGTTCCCCAAAAACCAAACATGCTTTTAACCTAGAAAGAGGAAAAATTGATCAGATGCTTCCTCTATTTTCTAAGCCAGACAAGTGCATATAAAAAATTGAAAAAAAAAATCAAATATAGGCTCAGAAAAAAATTAGACTTACAAAAGGGTTTTTCTTAATGACACCTAGGAGTCAAACATGGTTTTATACCAGCTAATTAAAGTAATTACATATGCCATTGCATATATTCATTTGAATTAGCAAAGAAGAAAATAGCCATTCTCTAAGTGCTAGTTGCTGTTATAATTTAGAGGGCAGGAATTTTGTTCTGTTGTGATTGGAGAAACTATATACTAGCATTTTCTAAGCATAGTTAGAAATATACTCATTGCTTATATCTTTAATAGATAAATTTGAAGTCAGCCATTACATGTTAATTTCTAATTTTTTTCCTTATTTATACAACTCAGAAGTCAGAAATATTCCAGTTGCACTGGCAGCCTTGGGCTCACCAACATTTAGAATGTCTTAATACACCAAGAAATGAGCCTTATTTTACCTCCATTTGGGGTTCAAAAAAATAGTAGCAAATGCGTTGAGCTACCATGTCTGCTGTATGTTTTGAGAAGCAAGGATTATTACCTGTTTGCAAGTAAATATGGAATCATAATTTGACATTCGACCCACGATGACTTGAAAAATTTTACATATTTCCAATACCACTGAATCCAAGAATGCACGAATGGTTTTTGTCCTTGGTTTTCCTCTTCTCCAGGGACAATTCAGTACGTGTTCATCCATGAAAGACTTTCTAAGAACTTTCAGCTACAGCATACACACACACACACACATACACACACACACACACACACACTGAACACTGACAAACAGTAGTAGGGGAGCCCAGAAGAGCCAAAAGCCCAGCTGTAACAAAACACTATAAAGAACCTGGAGGCAGCACGTACTCGGTCAATAGATGCACCATCAGCCTACACCCTGCCCATGGAAAAGCTGGTTAAAGTGTTGTAGATTGGAAATAACGTGTCCCAGGCAGACACATGTAAAACCTGATTGCCTGATGTTCCTGTCATAATCAATAATAATGTGAAAATGACCAACATGTGGAAGAAGAACATAAACCTGGCTATTATGTATCTAAGCAAATCCACATAAAGGACTGAATGTCAGAGACTGTGAGATTCAAAGCCATCATATTGCTATGCAGCTGGACAAATAATAGAATGATAAGAGTCTTTGTGGCACATAGCCTAGGTTTGGGGCTTCTCGATTTTCCTGCTAGATTGTGGACTCCTCTGAAGGAACTGTGAGTTAGACTACACCAACAGAACTGATGACTTACATCTTACAACTTAATACTTTATCTCTTTCCTTCTTCGTTGCCTCATGATCTTCACTGTTATCCTTCTCTTTTTCCTTGAAAAGGAGAGAACATAAGATGGTCACTAAAGTTTTTTCCAAGTCTTAGATTTCATCTTTCCTGGTGTCTAAGACAACTAAATGATTGAGCATTTTGACATGCAGTTGAATTTCACATGAATCATTTCTTTGTAAGTTATCATTAGTGACACATTACAGAGGTTTTTCAAAAATTCTAAAGCTGAAGGAGTTTAAGCAAGTTAAGATCATACACACGCTTGTATTTTAACTCTAAATCCAGGAGTCAGTCACCACTGTGACTCTAACAAATGTTACTAAGATTTGCTTTTCAGGTCTGATTCACCCTTAAACCTGGAGGTACCTGTGACCTACATTGCTCAGGATGTATTACCAGCATTCTTATACTCTTTAGTTCTTCTCTCAAATCCAATCTCTATGCAAACCTTCTTAGATTATAACAAAATGAGTCAAATTGTCCTGGAAGCTGAGACATAAAGCAAGCCAAGATGGCAGTATCCTACCACGCTTGGCTTTCCTGAAAATTCAGGACAAAGTTTAATCTTCAATTTCTGGAGGTATTTATATAAATATGCACCACTGCTTTTTTCTTACAACTTATTCAAAACCTTCTGAGGGGTAGTCACAACCAAAGCGTGAGTGCCTACTTACCCTCTCCTTCAAGTTTCCTTTTCCTAGTAGTATACTAGGGCAGAAGGGACTTTGTTTTGCAAACTGTGAAAGCTACTGACAATAAATTATCACTTTTCTTATCCCTCCTCACTCACCTTGGTCAAGTACCACCCATATCTCCAGGTAGAAAGATTTTCTTTCTGTGGGACCAACACTCAGGTCAACGTGAGATTATACAACACTACCTCGGCATGACTTGTTATTGAGGCATTCAGTGAATTACATCAAAATGTGTAAAATAAATAAAATTGTACATAAAATATAACTTTTCTTATAGTTCAAGTTAGCTACAGCCCAGTAAATAATGTTCTCGCCACTCAATTTTGTAAAAATTTACAGATAAATAAAGAATTCAGGCACATGGAAATAAAAATAGCTGTTATAGATGATAAAAATTGAAGGAGGCGGCATTGATCTGTTACCGCCATGGACTTCCTCGTAGTCCTCTGAATTAGCCTTATTCCTAGAAGCTCCGGAACACTGACCAGTCACTGTGATCTCAACAGTGAATCATCTGTGTAAAAGCCAAGCCTGGGGCCAGACCGAATACATCCTCCCTCTAGTTAGGCTGGACCTCCAGCAGGGACAGAGAGTAGGGCTACTCTCTGATTACCAAGTTACATACCTAAACATAAACTGAAAATTCTTTCTTCTGCCCTAGGAAAAGAACATATGAGAGGGTGAGGCAGAAGGCCAAGAGTATTTAGGGAAACTAGAAAAATGGGGAATAATTGAGGCCCAGGTTCATACGACAGGCATGCTAAGAATTAAACGATTCACAGGAAGTTCCCTTCACATGGATGTCTTTGGTCTCTAAATCTGCTGAGATATTTGTAGCGTTCATATAAATCCTTGAAAATGCCAATTTCTTCTATCCTTTGTTGACTCTCTCTGTAGAATCAGTTGCCCACTACTGGAAAAACCATAGCCCACTGGCCAGTGAGTGATATACACTGTGATTTTCCTTGTTCCCTAAATGAGTATATTTTTCTCTATGAGTTCCTCAGACTTTCATTAAAAACTTTCAGGGGACTCAATCAAAGCAGTGAATGGTGGCATTCAGCATATATGTTCCATGATATATAATCCAGAGGAGCGGGTAGGTGCTCTGTGATGAAATCTCAGCACCCCTAATCCTGTGCAATAGGCCAACATGGGTGTTCACCTTTCTCGCTCAGGCTTCTGTGTCCTCTGAGTGTTATAGATATACTATCTATTGTCTTGTATCCTTCGGTGACAAGGGATAAATATTGACTTTCCGACAGCCAGCATCCAAGGACAGATTCTTTCAGTTAAAATGTCATAGGTGTAGTTTGCCATTAACAGACATAATGACCAGGCAATGCAGAAGAATAATCTTTCAAAGCTGCTATGACTAGCACTGAATTAATATTGCTGCTTTCTTGAGAAGCACTTTTTCCACAGTACACCTTTTCTCTATTTTGAGAACCAAATCAGGACCTTCTGGAATTTTTGTGGAAAATGTCCAATCAGTACCTTCAAACAATCTAAATCTAGTTGCTCATTGTCACTTGAGGTCTGTTTTGATAACATCTTATCAGAGAATTGTGAGCTGAAGACTGATTCTGATCTCATACGGTAACTGTCTGCTTTAACTGTTTCCGCATTATACTATTTGTCCTGGCATACATGAAATTTGTTTTCAGAAAGCAGATGGTGAGCTCTTGAAAACACTGACCTCATCTTATATGTCTCTCAGATCTCCCACAGTGTGAGCTCACTGAGAGCTAATTGATTGGCTGAAGAACTTGCCCCTGTCTGACACTGTGTTTGTGAATAACACTGCCTAATTACTCCTACTTCTTTATCAAGAGTGTCATGTTTTGATACAACTTAATAGGGGTAGTAGGAGGAGGAGGTCGAGGGAGATGACTAGGAAAATGAAGCCAGATAGTTAAAATGATTTAGCCCGGAGATAGCCAGCTAGTTAACAGCAGATGTGGGACTAAAGCTTTTATTCTCTTGACACTTACTATGATGGAGTTTCTATGTCATCGTGCTAAATCTTTCTGGGCTACTCTGGCAGCTTTCCTAGTCTGGGAAGCCATCTTTATAATCAAAATACATATTTTGAGAGCTGACATCCAGAGATTGAGATTAAGTAGATTATAAGTGAGACACAGGAATCAGCGTTTGCAGCATTTACCCAGGGTGACTTTAAACACGTAGCTCCAGCATTGTAATCTGAGGAATTCAATCCTAGTCTAATCACCAGTGTGTTTTATTATCTCCTAATTATTCTGTTAACTATTTTCCCTCAGGTAAGTGTGTGTGTGTGTGTGTGTGTGTGTGTGTGTGTGTGTGTGTAATAAGAATATTTTGAAGTGGCCCCAAACAGGTATGTCACCCACACAACAATCTCCTACTACAGGACAGCTAAAGTGACTCTAGTCTACTACCACCATGACTCTGACCACCGTGCTTCTAAGAGTAAGTCAAAATTTCCAACTTGCCAACAAGACCCAGGTTATAGAAGGGAAAAATATTCCCTTCTTACTTTGCAAGCTTTTTATTGTAATAAGAGTAAATTAGAGTGAACTAATTTGAAAGTTTCTGATATATTTAATGAAAGAAATGATAGAAACATTTTTCCAAAAAGAGTTTAAATAAAACTAATTCCATTGGCTATTGTCCATTGAAGAGCAAGAGACAAAACTTTTGAATGAGCCTCATAACTTGAAATGCCGAACAAGTCCATAAATTTATGTTCTTATTATATACTGTGCTCTATCCTGGTTAAAATATAATGTACATGAGATTAGGAAAAATGTCTATGTTGCTCATTCTTGTAATCTAGGTCCAGTACTACATCTAGAGGACAATAAATATCCAAGAAATTTAAGGAAATAAAAACCCATAGGAAACCCCCATTACCCATAGCAAACTACCATACAAGCGTTCATGGTTTATTCCAGAAACCAAGTGCTGTTAAACAGGAAAGAAATGCAGTTCTCTGCATTGCTGAGAAATTCCAGACTGATATTATGACATATATAAATACTGGCTGTTTTATATGAAATATAAGTGAAATATTGATGGTAAATGCAGTGTTCTCAGTGCATAGCTATGATCACAATTATTGCTGTCATTATTACAAATACTACGCTTTAATTCAGGGAAAGCATTCCGAAAATGATTTCATGTACTTCCTGAACCATGGAAACTGACTAAGGATTAAAATCTTCATTGTATGAATTCTTTTAAATTCATCTGTAGATTTCATCTGAAGAATTCAGCTTCAGATTTCTTCTGAAGATAATAAAGTTAGAATTCTCTGATATGTAATTGCAAGATTTTCTCTGAGTTAACAGAACTTATGGGCTTCCAATAATTTTTTAAATAAATCTGTTTTCTTTTGATCATTTTAAAATAAATCTGTCTTCCTATAAATCACACATACTGAGAATAGTTTAAAAACAAAATGCATAATTTTGTGGTATTTAAAGGAATATATACATTCTGGCAAAAAGAAGTCTATATATACACACAGACATCGATGTATCCTTAGAAAAAGAAAAATAATTTTTTTATTTTTATTAGTGTATGTTTTCAGTACATGATGACTATGTTCATTTGGGGGGGGGTTGTACACCTCCATAGCATATCTTTTATAGCTTAAAATTGTCTCTTTTGATTCTTAATGTCCCCAAATTCTATTTAAGTATATAGAGTCAGAGACCCACATACACTCTGCCCATAAATCCTCATGGTGCAAATTTTAGACCAAGGTTATACTACAATAAATTCCTCCTTACCCACAGCCCAGATCACCAGGATAGGGAAATACCATAAGTGGATTTTATTGGATTTTTGTAAATGCTGTCCTCAGTTTTATGTTAAAAGAGAAGGAAGTGGTAACTAATACACTGTTAGGCTGTGGTCAGATGAAAACAACCTCCAGCAGGCATGAAGGATCAACAGAACCTGCTCTGTTTTCATGACCACTAGTCCTTAGCCTTTCATTTCTTACGAATCACTTGGAAAATCCTAAAGCAAGAGAAAGTTTTCTCTGAATACATACACTTGTATATACATACCTAAAATTTGGCATATAACTTCAAGGTATCCGCAACTCTTAGAGAAGTTAAATTCAAAGTCTCACACAACATTGAAAAGATTTCAGGCTGAGGTCAAGTACCATTACAGGAGCAAATCTTGCTTACTAAATGCTGCTTACACAGAGTGATTTTATTGGTGAAGGACCAGCACAAATCTTAGCTCTGAGATGTGTGCCCACAATGAGGCATTGTTCTTAGAAACCATGAAAGGTAGCTGAGTGCAAGATTGTAATTTCCTTAGGGATAGCGTCTCTTGATCTCCTTTTCTTCTTGAAAAAAATTTCAAGAACTATCCCCTGGGTAAATTATAAGTAGCATTTTCCTTTTGGATATTTTGAATTATCGCTGTATTAATCTGATATATGAATTATATGTGCTTATGCCATGCTTGGTGTATCTCTGTCACTTTATTATTCTAGAGAAGTGACAAGAAATATCATAAGGCCGGATCTTAGACCTTGAATAAATGCAAAGCTGTTTGAGAATCCTGAATAAACCTTAAAACAAAGATACACCTACTGAGAAAATAGAATGGATTAAATTTAGAAACATTTGGCACTATTATGTGTATCAGTGGAGAAGTATACAATATATTTTAGGTTGCCAAAGTGTGATGTCACTCATAGGTACTTAGTTGCCATGGTATCTTGGAATCTATCCAACTATTTCCCACTGGTTATAGCAGGAAAGACCACATTTAGAAGGTCTGAAACTAGGACAGGACTTTGAGGGACAATCACAGGAAAAGAACCCTATCTTCCTCACATTCCTTTTTTAGTAGCTAAATTTGGAGTGTACATACCATGTGCTATGCTAAGAGTTTTACATTGATTGACCTGGGGTCTTCAAAAGACACACAAATCAAATATTTCAGGTTCAGGAAAACAGTACCTCAAAATATCAATTTTAGAAGGTCTGGCTGCCTAGACCTTACCTTTGACTAATGTGTTACTCTGTTTAGAAGATTGTCAGCATGCATTTTGTCCCAGACAGCTCATGACTCTCAGTAGGAAGCATTAAAGTCCCACTGTGGTAGATGGTGTTTCCAAAACTGGTCACAGCATGTCCCATTCCATTCCACATGCTCTGTCACATTCTGTACTTAGCAGATCCTCATCAGTAGTTAGACCCTTTTCCTGAGGAACGGGTTGAGCTCTACAACCACTTAGTACAACTGATATAGCAGGTGATCTGACATTTCAGAGCCTAGGTCTTATTGAGGGCTGGAAACTCTTGCCTGTACTTTGTAGAATGTTTGCTCTTGAGGTGCTCTTCTTAAAAACTTTGACATTATGCTTGGAGAATCCCAGCCCATGTGAACAGGATGTGTAGATGCTTTACAGACTCGGCGGA